AGGTTGTTCAGAAAATAGTAGAAAATATTTGTTTGATAGCACTTTTAAGCGCTGCTCTTAGGAAAAAAAGCAGCGAAAAAGGACGTTTTCAACACTAAAATATGGCTAATAAAATTTTCATTTGTTCCCTGTAAAAGAAAACAGAAATCCTGTCTTTCCAAGACTGTCGTTTTCAACTGAAACTTTGAAAACAGATTGTTGTAAAGCAGTTGAAAACATGTTCATGTTGATAGATTCCGATTTTTTACAAGTTTTTACAATTTTGCTATTAACTGCAATGAGTGAATAAAAATTGTAAGAAACGATTTTCATGGCATCTTCCTTATATTAAAAAGTTGAAGCCATTCAGTAAATTCGACCAAAAAACTGCATATTTCTAGTGCCATTTTTTAAACACAGTTAATTATACAGGGTTGAAGCTGAGCTTCGTATCACTTGCGATACAAAAGTGAGTGACTATGATTACCATCAAATCAAAAGACGAAACAAACCGTTTTTTTTTGTCAAAAAAAATTGCAGAAAGGACAAAAAATGTTGGAACAAATCAACTGCACCAATAAAACTTTACAAACAGTTTTCAAAATGTTTAAAAGAAACCAAATCTTTCCGCGGGACCTAAGCCGACAAAACACAGCAGACACGAGAGTATATAACATTCCAAAATTTTCAGTTTCCTACTGGAATCAAACTTCTGGGGTTTGCCGTCTCAAATATGAGTGTTACAGAACACCAAATGCCCAGAACACTACATGCATATAAGAAGAAATCAACTTCCAAAAATTTTTAATGAACAGCATGAAAAAAAAATCCAAACAAAATTAGGCAAAACTCCTTGGAATTCAATTAAAAGCCTAAAATCGGAAAAATATATATATATTTTTAGTTTGAGTAGTCAGTGCCCGAGTTTTAGAAGAATTGGTGCTACGGCAATTAAATTGGACAAAAATGCAGACAAACAGAGGTCCGACAAAGATTTTTTGATGCGCGGACAATTTTCGGCTGACACAAAAAATAACAGCTCTTGGCCCGATTGGAACCAGAAACCCTTGTTAACATAGGCAGGTGCGTTAATTGTTAAACCGAAAGAAGCGTCTGTATTATGTTCTCTCATTCTTGTTTATAGTCTCCATTTCATACTCTCCAATTCATATTTCCATCTGATAATTTTACAACACTTTTTACTTTTTGAAAAACTCATTTTCTCAATTAATCAAACCAGTTAATCAAAAATATTTTCGTATCAATCAATAATACTTTTTTAATCATGCGCTTAGCTTCAATACTCTTTTAATCTTTGCTTGGTTTTGTGACTTCTACCATCTTCACTTACACTTTCTAGAAAAGTTTTAGTTTTATGAAATGTTTGGCTGTGGGTCACTTTCATTGAAGGTTTTATCTGCGAAGTACTTGGATAGAGTAAAGAACAAACAATTCCACGCGACGAAAGAAATCGGAAACGCTATTCTGCTGATTCTATCGGGGCCATCCATAATTGATATAAGATCTGACTTTTGTTCCACAACAGCTTTTGTGATGTCTTTTGAAATTTGCGGGTTGGAGGGGAACTCGCCATTGCTGCTCCCAAAAAAGTCAGCAGATGTTTCCTAGAAAAGAAGTTTGAACATAATTCAGTTTCAATCTACCTATATTGTGATAAGAAAAAGACTAAACATGATTATAATTTTTATTTTTAATGGTAACACAGGAAATTTCATTGAAGTATAGATCGAATGTTCATCCAGTAAAATTAACTCCCGATTTGCCAAGATTGTTTTTGAGCTTACATTTAAAAACTTTGTAGTCAAAAAGTTACTCACTTCTTCCGGCTTAGCTCCAGATGCTGCGTTCAGTTCATTGTGTCCAAATGTTTTCAGCTGAATTGAGTCCTGATTTTTTTTTCTAATGATTCTCTTCATCGCAAAAGAAGCTACCAGAGTTTCGACCAAAGAAGCCACGTTCAATAAAAAATTCATAATCAGATAACCATCGATTATCTAAAACCAGATATATGAAAATAACACAAAAAAAACAAGTTGCGACCATTTTTAGAGTTGGATCAATTATTGGTTCAATTAAAAGAAACGACACGTTTCATTTTTAATAACCAGAAAAATACCCAATATTCTATCTGCACCTAGAACTCAGTAACTGTAACTAGAGATTGTTAACTCAAACTCTATATATAAATCTGATTGATGAAAATATTTAACTGTGTAACAGAAGCTGTAATATTTTAGTTGTACTCCTTTTAGCTGTTTAACAGAAAACTGAATCAGTTGCTTTTGTGCACAAGAAAAGCTAATTAGAGCTCAAAAATTAGGAACCAAAAAATGTGAAATAATTTGAGGTTATCATTAATTCCCCTTTGGTTGACCTAAAAAATTTCTAAAGCGATTTGGTGCCAATATAAACTAACTTTAGGGAGCGCGCACCACAAAAACGCGAGCTTTCGAAAAACGCCAAAAATCAAACTTTTTGGATCGTTTTTTTCTCCCGCGCAAAAAATATAAGAGGCGGCGAATTATGAGAGCTCGCGTTTATTTGCACTTACTACCTTTTCACTCAAACCAGAATTTTTTGTGTTTCTCCTCCTCGTAACTTTTCCCAAAAACATTCCTGATAGTGATTTTGCAACTTTTCATAATATGTTCTTTTGTTTTTGCTGACAAATTTTTTGATTTTTCATCATAATTGAAATCACTTTGTAATTATCAATTAGCATTTTTTTATAAGCAAAAACAAAACGGACTTGAAAGCACCTGCACCCAGCGCTCATAGATCATAATCAATTATTTTATCATTTTATGGTCCTTATCTATAAAACTAAAAAGTAACCGATTATAATCCATTAAAAATGGAATGAATTCCTAATATTTTTATGTCACTATAATATGTTTTAATCGATTACATCCCATTGAGAATAGATTATAATCCTAACATTTTTGTGTCAAAATAATTCATAATAATCAATTATAATGGAATTTTTGAGGGGTCACTGATGAAGTTTAAACATTTTTTAAAAAAAATCTTATTTCCTTTTTAGTGCAGTTGCTACCTGCTACTTTTCATAAATTGTTACATTTCACATTAGAAATTATGTTTTAATTCTCTAATTTTTCAGTTCCTTGCAGTTTAACACTTTAAATTACCATTACAACGCCACTCCATGGTTTGGTGTTCTGAATTCCTAGCCGGGTACTTTCAGCTAAAACGAGAGGAGCTAGGAACTCAGAACAGCCATTTTCTAGGAAATCCCAACAATGCTAAATTGCTGTCTGAGGATCCCACGGCACATTTTCTTTCGCCAAAAAAGAACTGAAACCGGGGATTCCTCATTTGTTTTGGGGATTCCTATAACAAAAATTGATATAGAAATAATTGGCTTTCCCTGACAGTGTCATGGACACCCCGGTGATGTCTGGGGTTCCTGACTACATTTTCTGGAATTCCCAATAAAAAACTATTACAAGGGTCAGGTACTGACCCAGTTAAAAAGTAACATTCAAAAGAAGACCGGGAATAGTTCAGAGGTGGAACTAAACGGGTTCAGGCTTTTCGTTTTCGGATCGAGTTTTGCCATAAAATACATACGCAAATTGCGTATTATGAAATTTGATTAAACTTGACGCAAATTTTTCCACCATCATTTTTGACCTATGATTAGCCCATTTCGAGTGAAACTTGGTTGAAAAAAAAAGTCCGGATAATTTAAAACAGCACTGTACATCAAGAATCAACCATAACAGATACCGAGGTTTAATGTCAAGTTGACGTTAAATTGGTTCTAAAATCATATTTTTATTTCAGGCTTTGATTTATCTTACTAATATTAATATTGTAGTTCAGAGTTGTAAAAAAACAATTATATTCAAATTATTCAAAAAAAAATTCTTACCACAACCGCCATCCGCACGGGGACATGGGGTTGTAAGGTTTGAATCCTCCCTGTTTACCACAACCGCCATTCTCCTTCGTCCCCCACAGGGGTTTTGGTTGGACGGCAGTTTACCTCCCCCTGCAATTCCCCCGCCCCAGTTTAGTACCACCACCGTCCATTTTATCCAATCCGCCACCCCCCCCCCCCCTTTTACACCCTTTAGAAGAAAATTGGTTTTAAAAACTGGGGGCGAGCAGTGTGATTGGTAAACTTAAGAATAAAACATAGGGACGGGATCGTTGAACGTAATTGATAATTCGCCTGTTTTGCATGCTTTAAGTGAAAGACATGGCATTAATTTTGCAAATTTCTTGCAGAATTTGCAAAACTTCTGCAAAAACAATCGAATTTAGTTTTGAAAAGAAAGATTATAATCGGTTATGATGGATTGTCTTGACAGAAGTAATCAATATCAGTGCCAAAAACAATGAAATATTCCTGATAAAAATGGATTATAATATTTTTTGTACCCAAAAAACATCGATTATAATGGCAATATAATCAATTTCGTGGTCTAAATTTTAAATCGTTAATGGCTTATAATGATTTTTTTCCATTAGAATCTATAAGAATCAATGGGCGCTAGGTACGGGCAGTCACTTAGGAAATCAGAGTCAAAACATTTCAAATCAAATATTTAACTAAGCAAACTTTCCTTGTGTCATTTTATACAGAGTTTTGTTTCCTGGCAAACCAAATCTGGTGCAAACATTCGTTTTAGCAAACTAAGGTTGACAAAAAAATAAAGAAAAATAAAATAAAATATTTTCATCTGGAGAAAGCTACAGTTTTTATCGTACCTTGAACTCAGTCGACTGGGGAAAGCTCTGATCCTCGCTAGTGATGAGGATGATTTGCGCCATGATGAGAGCGATGCAGATATTGGCCCTCTCGGGTAAATCAGAAGGATCTATCCACAGCACAGCCCAGCTAAAAATAGAAACAAATGTTGATTCTGAAACCATGTCGTTAAATGTTATTGTCGTTTTTTTTTCGAGCCATGAGTAGTTCATGACTACGTTTGCAAACCATTTCAAAACCAGATCTGCAAATCAATTGATGGTTTTAAAAAGATGGAGGGTGTGAAAAAAATATTTGTATTCATTTCAACTTCTTGCTTTATTTTAAGGTTAAAAATTGCTATTTTGTTTATGATAATGTACAATCAGAGCATTTGGTTCATGAAGTTGATAAAGATTGGGTATTTGATTTGTATGCATATTAAATAAGGTGAGCAAATGAATAAGAAAAACAAAGCAAACGATTTTAAGAAAAAGTAAATACAGTGATCAATTTTAAATTAAAAAAGACGCTAAATTTCAATATACATGCTGAACTAAAGTATTCTTCACAAAAAAAAAACCTTTATGGCTTGATTTTTTTGGTGTATGAGTATCGCAAAACTGCTTTTGTGAAAAACTTTTACTTCATATCATGAACAAAATTTTTAGACTTTGTACGTTTTTTTTTCCGGAAAATTCAGATCAGCAATGTACGAGAGCTTTATTGTAATAAAAATCGATTTGAAAAACATTTTCAGCGTTTGTGACTATATTTGAAACAAGACTGACCGTAATATCGCTAAGCCTTGGAATGTTTAAATTAGCTTTTTAGACCATTTAGCTAGTTTTAGATGAATTTTGAATTATTTCTGAGCCGGGTTGTACTGCCGCCATCAACGAGCTAATGAAAAACTGTAAAAACTGACCGGGTTTTGGGTATCAGAAAACAACAAAATGGTAATATGCACCACACAATAAATCGCAAAACTTTTTGCATCCGTAATTGCAAATTTTTTCTGAAAGCTTTTTGGAATGGAATTCAAAGACAAACATCAAAGATTAGATACATAAATGAATGTTTTTTTGTTTCATATTTAAAGTTTATGAAACCTTCTATTTTCAAAATTGAATTTAAACAACTAATTCGACCCTCTTGTTAATGAATTTAAATTACATATGTCGGCTTAGATTTGGTTATGTAGGTTTAGTTATACAAGAAACTGTTCAAATTAATTACATTGGCGAGATTTGACTAACCTCAGTACGGTTAAGACCATGTTTGGTACGAAAAGGGTGAGAACATAGAACAATGGGTTTCGAATCATCCGCAAAACTAGAGCATGTTCCATATAGTATGTAAGATTCTCATTTCCAGCGGAATGACTTCTGAAATCTCTCGCGTAATCGAGATCGTTAAACCGTAAGTTACCAATGATTTGATCTGGCTTCATAGAGAACTGTTGCTCAATATTTTTGATCATTGCGTCTATGTCGACATCAATTTTGTAGACACCAATCAAAATCTGAAACAATTTTTTTTTTTTTTTCATTGTTTGTAAGTATGTTTTTCAAACTTTCAGTTTAAAATTGTTTAAATCAAACTGTTTCTCTCACTTCAGATATGAAAAAAACTATTTTGCCGTTTGTGTTTCAATGACTTAGCTATCCCAAACTAGCTGATTAAAAAACTTCATAGTTTTCAGACTCTTAGAAAAAAGTTTTTTGATAACTATTTATAAGGTCGACTGTGTATGACCGAAATGTCGAAAAGATTTGAAAAACGATAATTTGCTCACTATAAATCAATTTAGTGCTAACAAAAATTCAAAATGCTTCAATAACATAAATTCATTGTTAAAACATTCAATTCAGAAAAATTTGATTACGCTTTTCAGTCGCACTTACGGCGCATTTGTGCTGATCAAATGGGAAAAACAGCAAATCCATTTCGCACGAGAAAGTGTATCGTCCAAATTTAGACACATGAACTTCTCCATTCCTTCCCAGGAACACCTTACTGCTGGCTTTTGATTCTTCAACTGAGACTAATGGGTCAAAAACGAGGTCCGGCTGCCAGATATTTTCCAAAAAATCAGCTTTGAATTCTAACTCAGATGAATACGTCCAACTTTCCTGACTGATGGAAAGATAATCTCGCAAGCAAGGATCATTCCATTTCGCCTAAAAAACGGTTTAAAACTTATCACATACTACATTATTTTATAAAAAAAAATCGCAATTCTGAGAAAATTTCACAACTTTTTTCATGTTTTCATTTTTTTCTTTATAAAATTGAAACCTATTCAATGAAACTTTGTTGCTTTAAACAACGAAATGCTAATGAATGAGCTGACAATATTCAAGAAAAAAGTTTTCAATCACAAATTGGAGAAAAAACTTGAAGAAAAATCTACTTAGTACTGAAAAACTTAGGGTGTTATTGTTCTGACCACTTGACCAAGGCTTTTTTATTCTCTTTTCTAAGTTTTTTAAACAAGTAATTGAGGTCAACTGTGGGAACACGTTAACGTTTTTTTTAACCGCGATTCGATTGCCAAAAAAAGCCTCACTTTCGAAAAAACGGAGTCTAAGTTTTTCCGTTTTCAGATAAATTTGTGTGCGGATTGGACAAGTAGCTTACTTAATTTCTCGCTTTAAGTTAAACCAGCAATCAAAGTTCCTAATTTGCTTTTATTTGTTTAATTCAAGCCCCTACCTTCACCTAGAAAAAAAAATCACAGAAAAAAGGCATTTGTTCGATTCTTTTTATCTGAAAACTGCTTTGCTCAGATATTATGGTGGGAAACTAGAAATCATGGCAACTAGGTATCTTTGTTTTGATAAAGACTTGTCGCAGAAAGACGTCGTAACTGAATTCAACAAAAACTTTGGACGGCAAAAAACAATCTTTAATGAGAACCATTAGCTACAGTTTATGACAATTCTCACAAATTTGTTTTTTCTGATTCTTCTTCTACCAGAACAAGATAAATTTTTGCCAGAAGAGCCCAAAATTTCATCGTTTTAGATATCACTCTGAGTTTTAAATTTTCAATATTTTAAAAAAAAAACTCAAAATAGGCTGGGTCGCAAAAAGAAAAAAAAACAAACAAACAAAAACTATATTGAACAGATCAACTTTTTGTTTTAAATACTAAAAATCTCACTTTCTCTTTTCCACTTATCGTTATGATTAATTAAAGTAGAAAGAAACCATACCGTTACTATTGCATCAAAAGAGAATATTTTCTCAATCTCAGAAACTGTTCGCATTTTCTCAATGTGGAATCCAAACGTCAATTTAGGCTTCTCCGGCTGCATGTATTTGTTGTAATCAGCCTTGTATTTCGGAGAGTGGGTGGTGAAACTATCCGGATTTAATGAGACACTTCTTCTTTTCGGATTGTTTTTCATTGAAGAAAGAGACTCGTTTTTATCAGCAAGTAAATAAGAGTAACTAAGAATAAAAATGAAACAAAAATTAGTCAAATTTGCAAACATTGTTTCCGGTTAGTTGACGCAAATTGGAAAAAATGGATTAGAAAAACAGGGAGAAGGACCAAAATAACGACCTGTTGTTGATCAGAAGTATAGATAAGCTGTTCTAACAAACTTCTTCTAGTTTAATAATTTTTGAAAAAACAGTGCTGTGGTATACATCAGGAGTTTTTCAGAAATATAACTGCAATAAGCAGTTTCACATCAAATGATGACATAAATCCAGGGCAAAAATTTTGAATTATAAGAAATTAAAATGAATCAATGAAGTTTAATTTCAAGATGCTGTTTTTTTAGTTAAAATGTATAAATACCATGTGATTTTGATTTACTAGTTTACCAACAACCTCTCCATCGCTCTCAGTCCAGTCCTGGAACCTGATAGACAAAATTTTAGAAATGTTATGTTTCCAAAATTTTTTAAATTGAAATTAAAGGAACCAACTGTTTCGCCTCTTTCATCGGGAAGTGGAAGCTAATCTAAGTTTTCTCGGTCTAGACTAAGAAAGATATGAAGCTAATCTAAGGTTTTCAAACAAACGTTAAGATTTAAATCGGTGAAACGTAAAGTTTAATGGCCATACTTGCTTGCCCACTAAACGGTATATTACGCTCAAAATAATTCATTTCTTTACTCATTTCTTTATTGCTTAGCAAATTTCAAGAATTAGAAAACTAGGAATCATTTCTAACTTCAACAACTCTTAACACTGTTTACTTATTCAAATCTGACGATTTCGGGTCTTATCTGAGTAAATCACTCTTTTTTGATTCTCGCATTAGTTATGCAACATAAATCTTTTAACTACTTTTGAATAAACTCAACCCAAAATCTCTAACTTGAATCTTATCACTTCATCAGTAAGAATAATATCGTGCTTATATATATATATATATATATATATATATATATATATATATATCTTAGTTTTTCTATTTGAACTCTCGTAAAAGATTTTCTCACGAATGGTTCATGGATTCGAGTTTTCCGTTTTTGATTCGCCACTTTTCAACCAAATTTTTTTTAAAACAATGCAAGAGTTGTCCATTGATTTTTTGAGAAACTTGAGATTTATATACCAATTGTTTGTTTATTTGATAGTATATACTTGAGCACTGAACAAACTCAGATGTTTTAGTGTTTTCTTCTTCTTTTTTAAATTTTAATAAAATTGGGCAAGCAAAATTAAAGACAAAAATTTGATTTAAGATTTTCACTACTGATGGTCCATTTTTTATGTGAACTTATTAACACACTTTACCCTCGTAGTTAATCTTAATCCATTCTATTTGGTTTGATTGATTTGATTTTTAAAATGATCCCGGAAAATGATACCAGGTCAATTTGAAGCAAATACTAGGAAAAAAGGTTTATACGCAATTTCAGTTGCCGCTTTCAACTGTTCTTTTTCTCATTGGTTTTGAATTTTAAAAGTTGAGTGCGGGTGCATCTACCTTTATTCAAAAGACTCCACGAAAACCCACCCAGATCTGAAACCTGGTATTAATAAGTTCAAATTGAGCAGTAAACAATTCAATGAGCATACCCTGCCTAATTTGTAGCTAGACAAGAACAAAAAGTGAGTTTTAATTTCAAAATTTGGCTCTTATGGCTCCAAAATAGAGAAAGCGGCATTTTCATCAAAGAACAAGGTTTAAAAAAGAGCATTTGGTTAAAGTTAATGGCGCATTATTATCCCTCAGATGACGATTCTTCAAAGTTCATAAAATACATAAATAGAGGAGAATCCCTCATGCACGAAATACCGAATGCGCGAAAACTTTGTGATCCGATCAAAGCTCAGAAATTAAAAATTCGGAAGAATTAGGCGATATATTTAGTCAGCTTTGGTTGGGCATTGGTCGGTTGAGCATGTTAGCGCATTCAGCCCTTCGCGCAATAGAATAACTTCCTTTCTGTTAACAACTGACAAGGGGCATTTTATTAGAGCATGCCAGACTAAATCAATCTTCTAACAGCTTGTATTGTATCTAACATTCCTTTTGCAGATCGCTGCTCTAAAATATCTGGCCTTGCAATGACACCATCTTTGCCAGCTATCTTTCTGCAGAACTCTGATCTTAAAAACAAATCAATGCACGCGAACAAAAGGAAAAAGGTCGTTATTCTCTGAAGAATTCCTTTTTCTTTTTCAACCTGTGTTTAGACGTAGATTTGTCACGAGCTCCATTTTGAACCATTTTAGGCCGCTCTTTAATCATAACTAACTCTTAGAAAAGTTTCTGCAAAACAAAGAAATTTAATCATATTAACTACTAATACAAGAAAATTTAATTCAATTGTCGAACAAATGTTTCTATTTTAAAAAAGTGACTATTCGAGAAACCCAGATTCGACTCATAAAAAACTGTGTCGTTGTTTTGACAAATGTTTAAACGACAAAATGTCAAATCGGACCCGTACCGAAGTTTCTCAGATAAAAATAGATTATGTTGAGAAAATATTGCCAAAAATGTTGCCATTATAATTGATTATGTGTAACCAATATATCCACTAAAATCTATTTTTATCTCCACATAATCTCAACAAAATCTATTTTTTCGCCCTGAAATCGCCATGAAATTGCAATAAAATTGATTGCTTTTGCCATAAAATTGCAATAAAATCTATTGTTTTCGCCGTAAAATTGCAAAAAAATCTATTGTTTTTGCCATAAAATCGCAACAAAAACTATTGCTATCGCCATAAAATTGCAATAAAATCTAGCACCCAAAAAATTGACTATGTTAACAAAACAAAATAGATTATTGTTCCGACTTTCGATACGAAAACAACGGAATATTTGTGCTCGGGGTGGGTTTTTTTTTTCTTCAGACAAATTTCGACTTTTTAACTAGCCATTTTTGACGGAATTTTTTTATATCATTCGAAAGCTATTGTTGTCCTGAGCTTATATTTGAAAAGATATTTCACCTGTGATCATTTTTCGTGAAGTTATGAGGGTTTAGAGATTGCCATTTTGACCAATTTGGGACAATTAACGCGCGATATAATTCGCGCTATTAACGCGTAAGCGGAGATTTAATCCGTCTTAGAAATCGTTCCAAATTAATTGGAAGAAGCTTATTTGCCATAATTGATTTGTTACAAGGAGCGAAACTTATCCTTTTGTACTTTATATGGCGTGTGGGGGGATGATTTTCATAAAAAATTTCAAATTTTAGATATATTTTTTTTTCATTTTTATTACATTTTATTAAACATTAAAAGGCAGTCGGATTATTCAGGGCTTCGCCCTGATACGAGCAGTCTTGTATTGTTTAAAAATTGATTTTTCTCTTCTTAAAAGCATGCTATTTGAAAACAGAAAACAAAAATTGAATTCAAACCAAACGACACAAATCATGAAAATCATCAATATAAACTAGATTTTGAGCTCAAAATATGCAACAAATATATAGAAAAACATCATTGTAAATCAGATTTTGGTCAAAAACATATAAAACAAATGAAAAAAATGGTCAATATAAATCGAGTAAAAATATGTGCAAAAGTCATTGAGTAAGACAATTTTGACCCAGTCTAACGATTTAACCCCTATTTTCTACCTCATGTCCGTCTTACCATGGACCAAGTGGCCACTGTTCTGCCATCTGCTTTTCAATCTTGACTCTAGCTGGTCGTGTGAAGCATACCATGATTCAACTACAGTAAATCAAGTAGAGCCTCAGACCACAAATCTCACAACATCCACATATTGAACAACTTCGTCCAACCGGGAGCAAATATGCAGTATAGACACCGCAGATCAATTAAGATGAAAACTGTTTAAAATTTGATGTTCATTCAAACCTTCATTAATAATCATTCGACTAAGTAGTTGCACGAAGTGTTTGATTGAGTAGGCCCATGTCAAGGCACATCTCAAAGTACCCAATTTTTAGAGAAAATAAAACGAAAATAAAAGATTGCTTTTTTAGCTGGAAGTCATTGTTTGTAAGTTCAAAGAGTGCTTAAACTTTTGTCTTGAAATTGAACAACAATACTGTCAAAGTTTACCACAACTGACAGTTTCAAACAAAATGCGCTTCTGCACTATGATTCCGAATAGAACTGTGGAATTTATGCAGATAATCGAACGCATTTTTGTTCCGACTTTCGATACGAAAGTAACAGAATATTTGTGCTCGGGTAGGTTTTTTTTCTTCAGACAAATTTCGACTTTTTAACTAGGCATTTTTGACGGAATTTATTTAGATGATTCAAAAGGTATTGTGGTCCTTAACTTAAACTTCAAAGATAAATCACCTGTGATCATTTTTCGTAAAGTTGTGGCGGTTTAACGATTGCCGTTTTGGCCAATTTGGGACAATTAGCGCGCGATATATTTCGCGTTATGCACGCGTAAGAGGAGATTTAATCCGTCTTAGAAATCGCTCCAAATTGGCTGAAAGAAGCGTATTTGCCATAATTGTTTTGTTACAAGGATACGAACAGTCTTGTTTTATTTTCGGAGGAGCAAAAACAATAACTTCGATCGTCGAATTATCAAGAAACCTATCTGGGCAACAAAGTAACCTTTGTAAATTTTACAAATTTCTACTCTGTAATTTTCTTAACTTGGTTTCTGATAAAAAAAATGGTAAGCTTAATTGTAAGGAGATAACTTGACAAACAATGTTGAAACGGAGCCAAAATAGATACCCATACTGCTTTTCTGTTTTTCATATTAACGGACTTTTATAGGGTTGCTTTAGGATTTTTTTAATTGAATCAGAATCAACCAGGAGCGGATCTAGGATTTTCTCGAGGGGGGGGCGGATTTTCAAAAAAATTTTGAAAAATTTGTCGACCTTTTTTTTAGGTCGAGCAAAGTGAATTTCCGAAGCTCTCCCCCAAAGTACTAAAAAGACCCTGATTTGGTAAAAATTTGAAAATCAGGCCAAAAAAGGCGTTTTTAGGCACTTTTTGGAAAATTTTGATAAAAAAATCGCATTTTGCGCCGCGCGCTCCACCCTCAAAGTTAGTATATATTGGCAAAAGGCGTCTTTAGAAATTTTTCAGGCTCCGTCACCAAATATAGATATCTCAAAATTGAACAAAGGGGAGACCCTTTGAGTCGGCAGGGCGTCGAATTCATGAGGAAGAGGGGGGGACGCCCCCTCCCCCCCAAATCCGCTCCTGGAAGCAACTGTGATTTTGTGCAAGAAAACAGAAGCTCAGTTCAAGCTGAATTGCTAAAAAAAAATATCAAGCAGACATAAAGCAATGAAGAAACAATTTTGCCAAAACAAAGGGTTACTCAATTTACAACAGCAGACACACATACGTTTTTTAATTTTTTTTTGAAAGCGCAGATTAAGAGCAGTTAAGTGAAACAACCCAACTTGAATTTAAAATTGATCGAATACTTTTGTTTGCATTTTTGCCCTCACTGGTTAGAAAAAATTTTGGTAAATTTGCAATCAAGTTTCATTTCGTGGAAACCTACTCCGGATTTCTTCTATTGAGCACTTTCTCTGCAAAAAGTTGAGGAGCAAAAAATAGATTAAAGAGCCAAAAATTCAAGCCAATAAAATGTAAAAAAATATATTTGACTGATTTTCTAGAGTAAATTCAGTCGACATCACATCAGAATTGTTTTTGAGAGCAAATACTCTACTTTTGTGGATTTGAAAACCCAATAAAGACTCAGTTGTATTGCTTCCACCAGAACTTGAGCTATTTAACCAGCAGAAAATTTAAATTAGTCTTTTTTCTACTTCGATGCTTTAGAAGCATAAATTGAGCAAGGATTGCGGTATTGCGTATTAAGAAACTTGTTAAAAAAGTTTTTTTTTCAGTTACATTTGACTACAAAAGATACTTTTAATAATTAGAAAGAAAGAAATGCATTAGAGCTCACTAACTTAAAACTCCACCAGAAATTCTTAGAAATTGATACTTAACAAGCGGTTGAAAAATTGGATTTTTTGAAATGATGGTTTCCAAATTGTGAACCATCGCTCATATGAGAATTGCTACTAAGAATTGCAATTTTGTTTCAGTTGATTGTATTGTTGATATTTTCATTTTAAGAAATTTTTGGATACATTTTTAGGTGATTATATAGTTGAGATTTCGTTTTTGAAACCCACCAAAGTTATATCACTTAATCAAGATCTCATTTTGTACAGTGCCATTATGAGTCAATACCCTTCTTCAAAAGTAGATGGTAAACATTTTCATTTGAAGAATCATATTTCTTTTTTTTTCTTCATTTCCGTCAAATAGCTGTAGATTCAAGTTGACCTGCATCCCTAACTCGTACATCGACTTACAAGACTTAATTTGTTTTCCCGAAAAAAAACTTTTGGCTTTTCTTTTAGAAAACGGAAAACTTGAACTTCGGTTACAGCGTATTATTTTCAATTGGCACGTGACGTCATAATCACAACGTGACGTGATGCACCGAGACTGATTTTTAACTATGCTATGATAATTTTTCAATAACATTGATTATATAGGGACTTTAATTGAAAGTAGAAAAGAATCAAATGATTCAAATAAAGTGCGTGCTCAAGTACAAGTGATCTAACGATCCAATAGAAATAAACTGCAAAAGAAACGAAGGGTCAAATAACTCTCTTTGTAGTAGTTAGAACATAGTTGAAAGATTCCCGAGGGAAAAAGAGCCCAGCCCGAGGACACGAAGTGCCCGAGTGCTGTTCTTTTGCCCGAGGCCATCTTCAACTATGTTCTAACTGTTGAAGAGTATGCTTTTGCTCTTTCTGAGGGAAAATGCCGGAAAATTGTGAAAGAGCCCGGAAAAAGTGCGCGAAACTATGCAAATGATTGAAAACAAATTACAGTACGATACCAGGACAAACAGTGATACAAAAACAACAGTACTGTAACAATACTGTTCCAGTACTGCAACAGTACTGCCTTTGTTGTTTCACTCGGTTTTTCCTGGAACAGTACTGAAAAAAATATCTCAGTGGTTTTATTCTGAAACAGCACTGTTTTTTACTGGCAGATCAATCCGGGAGTTGTAACTGTTAAAATTTTATGTTTAAGTTAGGAATCATTTTTTTGCGCTGTCACTGAATTGTTACGCTATTATGATAAATATTTGTCTAACATGTTCATTTTGGCCCCTCTGTCTACCAAATGGAACATAATTGTATATCAAATCAAATGTTTTGTTTTTTATTAAGATAACGAGCTGGTTCAAGAAAGTTTTTAGCAGCTATGATTTTGAAGAAATTAGTCATATTAATCAAACAGCAATTGAAAATATGAGTTCAACCCGCAGCATCTACTTGCGCTATCACGCTGATTTTGAAATACAAAATGGTCCCTTTGTTTTGAATCAGGCACAACTTCTTTCTTCTACATATCAATTTAAATGGCACTACTTGAGGGTAAAATGGTCCAAAAATTCTAAAATGGTCACTGATTGGGATACAAAATTTGATTTCATTTTTTTAAAAAGTTAAACTAACAATTTTTTTTCCAGACAAATATTTTCCTTTTTTTAATCAATTATAATAGAAATATATAAATTTATTTTTAAATTCAATAGTTTTGTAGAGTGAAAAAAATGTTGATCTGCCAGTTTTTTGTTTTTAGATCGGTTTTGGCAGAACAATTAACAACTAGTCAAAAACATTAAAATATGTGTTTAAAGCAGAAGTCAGTTTATTTATCTTAGTGACTTGGGTATTTGAATTTGAGTTTTTCCCTTATTTTTTTTTGGCAATCAATTCGTTTTCAAGTCAAATTTTCTTCCTCCTTATCGATTGTAGAAAAAAAATATGAAAAATGAAATGATTTTTTGTTGCTTAAAAAACGTTGAATTGAGGTCACTTAGTGGTCATGCATTTTTGTTTAATTTATAGCAATCAGTTTGGTTTCACAAAAAAAAAAGAAATTTTCACCTTATTTACCAAACACAAAAAAAACCTAAAGGAAAAAATTTTGTTTGATTTCGAGATTTTTTTCTTAGCAGTATTTTTGATAGATGATTGCTCAGAAAGCAATCAAACGCATTTTTTTGAAAATTTTTAGCAATCAGTTTCAACGCAAATAAAAACAAAAAATTTAAGTGAAATATTTTTTAAAATTTTTTCGAGATTTTTAGCTGTAATTTTAAAAAATATTGATCAGAAAGCAATCTAATTATTTTTTAAATCTCCACCCCGTATTTGTGCTATCGCGCTAAATTAAAAATACTGCATTTGAATTTTTAACATTTGAAATCAAAATTTGGCTGACGTTTTCGTTTAATGAAAACTTTTTTCTTGCTTACGAAAATTATCAATTTTAAATATGAAAATGAGTGGGTTCGTTTGCACGGATTTTTGCGCTGTCCTATATGAAAATGTTTATAAGTTTGTACGCATCTTTACATATTTTTTGGTTGGTTCCAATTTTTCAAATCCAGAACCCATTTTATGATCACAAAGAATCGGATACCCAAGTTTGATCTGTTTTTATTCAAGTTTTATTGACATTTTCTTTTCCAGACAAAGTTTCTCCCTTTCGATCAATTGTAACAAAATTATGTATGAAAGTTGAAAATTTTAATCTATGTACGAAAAAAATTTTTAATCGCTGTTTAAAAGTGATAGTCAGCTAGCAGTTGAAAGTATCTGCTCAAATTCTTAGCCCATTTTCGCGCTGTCGCTTTGATTTGGAGATATTGCGTGATTACGAGTTTTTGGTTGAAATTTAGCTGATATTTTGATTTCAAAGTACTGTTTGCCTTTTTTAACCAAAACAACAAATTTTTTTGCTTAATGAAAAGCTTTTTTAGGTCTAAAAATTATCAAGCTAGTACTTCGAGACTTTTTGTTCGCTGCAATTTTGTAGACGTTTGCTTAAAAACATTTGAAAAAGATTTTTGCTCAAAGCTTATTTTTGCGCTGTTGCTATAAATTGAGGAAATTGAAATGTTAGGCTATTTTGTTAATATATAAAAAATATTTTCTTATAAATAAACATTTTCCAAGTTGCTTATAAAACTTGCCAATATCGTTAATTAAAACAAAACGTTTTGTTGGTTAAAAACGAGTGAAAAAAATCCTGTTGAAACTACAAAACTACCTTTTCCAGATGTAACTTTTGAGAAAGAGATTGTTGGGAAGTCAGTTGAAAATATGTTCTATTAAATAGGTTCTACCTTTCACTCCTCAGCCTTTTTCTTCGTTTTCGCTATGAATTAAAAAAGAGAAGTAAAACTATTTTTTATTACCATCAAAAATTGTTTTATCTTCTTCTAAATTCTAGTTTTCACGGTCAATTTTTTTGATGTTTTTCAGTAGTTTCAGGTATCAAAACAAATTTTATCAAAAATTCTAGTTTCTCAAAATGCGATTCTGTTCTTCTGTTTACACATAGTTACAAATATATAGTCTCCATTTCCCAGTCCCACACTCACACTTTTAAAACAGTTTCGACTCTTTGAAAACGCTCAATTTTATACCAGATGGATTATTGCGAATACTCGAAATTATTTTCATAACGTTTAATCATACATTTTTCTCATGCGCTGTGTTTCAAATTTGATTCAAGCTATTGCTTGAATTTATGACAAGTTTCTCAATTTTACTTACTTATTCCTGGATAGTCTTAGAACTAAGTAAGGTTTGGCTGCGGTTCATTTTTATTGTAGTTTTGATCCGAGAAGTATTTGCATAGAGCAAAGAACAAAACATTCCACACGACAAAAGAAATTGGGAACAAGATTCTGCTGATTTTATCGGTACCATCCACAGTCGATATTGGATCTGAGTTTTGTTTTTGACCAACAATTTCAATACTTTGAGGGTCTGAAGTGGGCTCACTATGGTAGTTTTCAAACACGTCTGCAGATGTTCCCTAGAAAACAGTTTCAATCAACCTTTTCTGTAATAGAAACAGAATGAAAAAAAAAACATCAATTCCAACCCTTACACAGAAAAAAAATTAGATTAAATATGCAGTTGCAGAATGGAAAAGTTTTCATCGGGTTTCCGTAATTCGAGGAAGAAGTTTTGTTAGATTAGGCTGTGAAATAAGTTTTTATAATGCAATTTTAATCTTTTTTTACCCTATTCCACTGTAAAACGATATCGATTATTTGAAATGTGAGTAAATAGAAGTTAAGACCACATAATACGCTTATGAACCACTTAAAACGCCATTTAGTGCAGCCCAACCCTGCAAAATTACTTTTCTTAATTTCAAAATTGGGAATGAAAACTTTAAGTTACTGTGTGAAAACCTTGTTGTTAGAAAGTTACTCACATTTTCTGGTTTCGCTAGTCCAGAGGCTGCGTTCTGTTTGTTGTTTTTGAAGGTCTTCAGCCTAACTGCTTCTTGCTTTTTATTTGCTATGAAATTTTTCATTGCACAAGAGGCCACAAGAGTCTCGACCAAAGAAGCCACGTTCAACAAGAAGTTCACAATCAGATAACCATCGATTATCTAAAAGCATTTTAAGAAAAAAACAGTACAAGGGTGCATAAAAAAATCCTACCATTTTTTGAAATAGTCAGTTTTTGATTATATTGTTGATAAAAACTAAACCCTGCAATAATAATAAGCATAACACAAATAGATTAGTTTTGTATTTTGTGTGCAAAGAATTTTTTGGACGTTGTTTAACTATTTTTGTTCAGATAAGATATTTGTTCTAGCTTTTTTGAGAGGTGATTGGATATGTATAAGATAATTTTGATGATTATCGGCTAATTTTATTCATTTAGAATTTCAACATTTTTCTGTAACATCACATTACAAACTTCTTTTTCACTTTTTCTTTCTGTTCTAAATTCTCACGTCTTTTTGTAGTTTTTCTCAAGAAAACAGAAAAACAACAAAACCTTAACAACCGAACTTCGTTTCCTGGTCATCAAGGTCTTTTGAAGAAATATATATAGTTTGCATTGTACCTTGAAGTCGGTCGACTGTGGAAAGCTCTGCTCCTCGCCTATGATGAGAATGGTTTGTGCCAAGATGAGTGCGATGCAGATACTGGCTCTCTCAGGCAAAGCGGAAGGATCCATCCACAACACAGACCAGCTAAGTAGAAAAAACATTATTTATTATTTAGCCAAGTTGTTAGATACAACCAAAAGTTGTTTGATGTTTGTGAGCCATTATTTTTAGAGGGCCATTTTTGCTATCTAAAATGGAACAAACGAATACAAACATGGGATATAAAAACATATGAAAGCTTAAAACAGATCTGAATACTTTATACTCTTCAAACGCTTTTTCAGTTAGTTACTCAAAACATAAAGAACGACGAGTCCAAAAAATGGGTAAATTATCAAAGCGATACTTCAAAAAACTTTTTAGTTTCGAACATTTGAGCTTTCTTTTACAAATCTAAATAAAATCTGAATGCTCAATTGGAATTTATACGAATAAACTAAATTACAAGCGTGAATATATTAAAAGAATAAACCAGAACAAACAACGAGAGCAAAACTAAAGCATTAAGACGTTTTAAGAAATCAAAAAAATCGAAGAACAATTTATGCTCTTGGAAGGAAAAAAACTTGTTTTATTGAAATACGCCATAATTCAGAAAAAAAATCGGCCGAAAAAATCTTATCCGTTGGTTTGCATTCAAACAGCAGAAAAAATAGGCAAAAATTGATGGAATCTTTTAATTGCAAAAAAAAATTGTTTGAAATAGCTAACATCCAATGCGCAAAAAACATGTGGTTTGATAAACAAAATTCTTGTGAAAGTGTTCAATTTCACAGGTTGATAGTCAAAGAAGACGCATTTTACTAATTTTGCCTCAAAAAGCGTTCAAATTATGCTTTTGTGAAATAGTTGAAAATATCAGGATACGAATTAACAAAAATTACAATACGTTTCGGAAATGAACCTTTAATCTGACTTGGAACTATATCGTTTTTTGCGCAATTCTGGTTGGGTTCTGAATTAAATACCTATGTAGTACGTTATTTCCACGCACAATGGTCGAGGAAGTTGTATTCGGATGTGTTTAAGTTTTTTTTCTTGTTTTCCGCGCAAAATCAGGTACCTCAAATAATCATTGGACTGTGTTGAGTGATATATCATAGTAAATTTATTTCAGTCGTGATTTGAACACATTAAAAAGTCAACAACATTTTTTTCTAGTGTCGAGAAAAATTGGTTTGAATTTTTAGATTGTTTGTCTAATTTCGAGATTTTTTTTCTAGTAATTTTTGTTTCTCTACTAACTTTTCTACAAAAATAATTTTTCAGTTTGCTGATTTTACTATGACTTTTAAGTGTACCCAATTCTCATTTTTTCAGCTCCTTTTATTACACCACGCCAAAAAATAGACAATAATTTGAAAAAAAAAATTGTTGTATTACTTAAGACTATGGTCAGAACGGTCTGAGCTAGTTGTACAGTAACCGACTATCCTTGACCTTTATTTGATATAACTTGCTTAATGTATAAAAGTATAAAAACACATGTCCAATAATTTACATTCATCTAGAACAAGTATCAATGGCTAGCTTCAAAAATTTGCTTCCAATGGCTGTTTTGAAAAGTGGGGAATTTTTCGGGCCTGGAAAAATTTTCTCAAATTTTAACTCCGGTAAACGCTAAGTTTTGTGCAACTAGTTTGAGTCAACTGTTTTTCAAAAAAAATCATTTTACTTTTAAAATTGTCGGTCAAGAAAAAACTTTTGAAGTTTTTTTGGTGTTTTTTTTGGGAAATTTAGATCAACATGTATGAGTACGTGGCTGTACCAAAATCAACCTATATATCGTGTTCAGTTTTGAGTGTACATTTCAACTGAGACTGCTCGTAACATTAAGGTGACCAAGCCATGGAATATTTCGATTGCATTATTTATTGAGTAAAAAAGTTCAAAAAGTAAAAACAATTTTTTGACGTTTTCCTACACACAGTACATTGCCAAAAACCAAATCATAAATTTTTTGTGTTTTTTTATGCTTTCTTTGGATCAATTAGCTGGTCTTACAGGATTGTTTTGCCGCTACGTATGAGCTAATAGCAAACTGTTATTACGGCCCACTTATTAAGAGCCAGAAAGCAGGCAAATGGTATTTAGAAATTGTTATTTAGAAAGTCTTAACTTTTCTGGAGGAACAAATGTTCAGTTTTGAACAAAAGTTACAAGGCTTTTGAGTTGACGCTGAATGGTCCCGTATTTCTATAGAAATTACACCCTGTCTTGTTTCAGACTCTGTAAAACAATTTGAAGGCTTTCAAAATCCATTTGGGTAAAAGAATCGTCACACAAGAAAGCTTTGTGTGCATAAGAAAAAGCAGTTTTTGGTAAATTTCTAGAACTGAATTCAAAGAAAAAAAAGATAGACAAAATAAGTTTTTTTTTGTTTAAATAGCTAAAAACTAGAAATGCTTCTTTTATTTTGATTGATTTGACTCTTTTTGTTATAGAGGTGATATTTCTCAAAAACAAATGTCAGATTAGGTTTCGTTATGCAAGTCTTACTTTTCAAATAAGTGTTAATGCTACTTTCCTTGACAAGTTTCGACTAACCTTAATGCTGTCAGGACCATATTTGGCACAAAAAGGGTGAGGCTATAGTACAATGGGTTGCGACTCATTCGCAAAACCAGAGCATGCTCCATATAATATGTAAATTCTTCGTTTCCAGCAGCGTTACTTATGTGATCCCTCGCGTAATCCAGGTTGTCAAACTGAAGGTTACCGATGACTTGATCGGGTTTCATGGAGAATTGTTGCTCCACATTGTTGAACATTATGCCAGTGTCGATATCAATTTTGTAGGCACCAATCAAAATCTGAACCAAAACACTTTCTCTAGCAGTTTTTGTCCATCTTATTGGAACTGTGAGACCCCACTTTTTCGATTTTTTCAAATTTTGAAAGTCATGCAGCATGAACTGAAATTCTAAAACAGATTTTTTTTTCAAAAAGCCACAAAATTGGGGTAATCGTCAAATACATAAAACAAAATGTCACCCCTAGAGAACTTTCAGCTTAAAATCAAAATTAAAACTGAGTTTTAACAACACGTTTTAATAAACTTTTGTTGCTGTCCTCATATTTCACTGTTCAAAAAAGCGGAGCAACAATTCATTTTAAAAATCTATCAGCAACAGCTAATGAATGATCGTGTATATCACATATTGCTCATACAGAACTGCACAAATCAGGGTGAATTCGTGAAATTTCCGACTGCTCAAAAGAGTACCCGAGGTAGCTTTTGTTGAGAAGCATTAAGTTTGAAAAATTGAAAAAAAAATGAAAATGTTCCCTCGCACGTAATCTCAACAACAAATTGATATAATATTTCATTTAGTTATTTGGACCAGCTAGCTATCCTCAATTTCCAACTAGCTATCCTGCAATTTGGTATTTCTGGGCCAAATTAATTGCCCTATGCTAAGCATTGGCTATGCTCTAAAAAAACTGGTAAATAAAACCCTTTAGCGCTATAATTAAAAAACAACTTGTTAATAAAACATTTTAGCGCTATAATAAGCCCAAATTGGCGGAAACAATCCCTTGTTAATATCAAGTCTAAAATTATCTGGAAACAAAACTATTCAGAGCGCACACGTTTTTTAAGCCTATAAAAAATTGATCTTTAAGCAGTCTAAATTTTAACTAGAGAAAAAACTATCCCGAGCACTAAAAATCCCTCTCAAAACGCAGACCAACAGAAATTCTCGGATGAAGGTGACACTTGTTCCGAATGCACTTGAGATCGATTAAAAACATTCAATTGAAAAATTGATAGAATAAAAATCACAAAACCGAAAAAATATATATAAATCCGCTACTAAACAACTATAAAAAAGCTAGTTAAAAAGTCATTTTCAACTGAAGAAAAAAAGACTAGTTACTTTTTAAAATAACCATTCATTTCCAAAACCATTCAGTCATTTTCGTTGTTCATGAAACCCGGCACAAAAACTTTCTCATACTCACTGATATAACATTAACAAAAAAAGAGGGGACCTATTATGGGTGTACAACAATCAACTACCAGAAAATCATGAACCAAAATGAATTGATGAAATGTCAAATTAAGAAAAATCTGATTAGTCTTTTAAGCAGCACTTACCGCACACTTGTGTCGATCAAATGGGAAAAACAGCAGATCCATATCACACGAGAAAGTGTACCTTCCAAATTTAGACACCCTAACCTCTCCATTCCTTCCCAGGTACACCTTACTGCTGGCTTTTGATTGCTCGAATGAAACTAATGGGTCAAAACTGATATCCGGGTGCCAGATATCGTCCAAAAGATCAGCTTTGAGCTCTATCTCAGACGAATACGTCCAACTTTCCGGACTAATGGAGAGATAATCTCGCAGGCGACGATCATTCCAGCTGGCCTAAGAAACAGTTTGATAGTTATTCAAAGCTTTTTTTCATGGCTCAACATCCATTTATTTATAAAGTTTTGTTTTCTCAAAGTTGTAAAATTCAAACCTACTCCATGAACAAATAATGCTTCCTGGAGAAAAATCTATTAATTGAGCAAAACAAATCCTTAAACATTTTGGAGTAATTACATGATTAGAGAAATTACAATAAAAAAATTTTAATTACGTTGCAAAAAAAAAATATTTTGTACTTCAAAAATTAGGCAGTTGTTCTTCCGACTACTTGACGAAGTGATTCGGTTTCAAAAAAAGCAGTCTCGGTGTCAAATAACAAGAGTCTAAGTGTTTCTGCTTTTTGGGCTTATTTGTAAGACGGAATGAAACAAAAGTGTGTCTAGTCAACTTGCATTTTAAATCCTTTTAGCTAAGACTTAATTTGCGTTTAGTTATCTAATTCAATCCTCTGCCACCAACTAGAAAAAAGACGTTTCGGGGAGAAAAGAGAGATAGACATTTATATTCGATAATTTTTTGGTTGTAATTAGCTTTTTTTTAGATATACGTGGTTGAAAAATTCTGTGCACGGCACTAGGAAATCTTTTTTTGATGAAAACATGTCTCAAAAAAAATACGTAAGTGAAATCAACGAAAACCTTAGTCGGCAGAATACAAGCTTTACTTAAACGAATGAAGAGCAGATTTTTGATACATAAACTCATGGTTACAATTTTCAACATTTCTCACAAATTTGTGTTTTTTAAAATTCTTTTTCTAATAAAATAGGATAGTTTTTGCCTTAAAAGCTCGAAGATTTATCACTTTAGATAGCCCACGTTTAAGAGAATTCACAGATTTGATTTAAAATATGAAACCAGTTATGAGGTAAAAATTACTACATAAAAATGTTACAAAAATTTTCTGGCGCAAACTATGAAAAAAAGCTCGGTCACAAAAAAACTAAGAAATTATTTTGAACAGATCAGCTTCTTGCTCTAAATTTTGCTCTAAAAGCACACCTTTTCCTTCAAGTTATCATATTGAGTTTAATTATCACAAACCATACCGTTGCAATTGCATCAAAAGAGAACGTTTTCTCAATCTCAGAAACTGTTCGCATCTTCTCAATGTGGAATCCAAATGTTAGTCTAGGCTTTTCCGGCTGCATGTATTTGTTATAGTGAGCCTTGTTATCGGGAGACTGGGTGATGAAATTATTTGGATGTAATGAGACACTTCTTTTTCTTCTTGGATTGTTTTTCATCGAAGACAGAGACTCGTTTTTATCAGCAAGTAGAAAAGAGTAATTAAAAACCAACATGAAACAAAAGTTAACCAAAAATACATACATTTTTTTCGATTAGTTGACGCGAAATGGATTAAACTAATCAGTTAAAATATACGAGGAAAAATGGCGAAAGTTAACGTTGTGTTGCTGAGCAGAAGTAAATGATGAGTTGTTCTGAACAAACTCAAGCGGTCTTTTTCAATAATATTTGAACAAAAATAGAACGTTGAGTGTATAAATCTGCAGTAATCCAGGAATATGCAATATGCAGTTTCAGAAATTTGGTTTAAAAGAAGTTAAACTTAATTAAAAATGCGTAACTACAAGATGCTTTTTTACTTGAAAAAATGTACTGAATACCGTTTGAACTTGATTCACTAGCTTTGCAACAATATCTTACTGTTCTCATTCCAATACTGGAATGCAACTTTGTAGAATTTTTATTTGTCAAGAAATTTGAATTGAAAATAAATGAAACAACTGTTTTTCCTCTTTCATTGGAAAGTGGAAACTAACTTCACTCGGTCTATACTAGTTCTGACTTAAATATATTGAGCTATTCCAAGGAATTCAATCGAATGATTAGAACTAAATTGTAAAAACTTGAAATTTAATCACCAAATACTTGTTTACCCACTCAACGGTATATCACCCTCAAAATTATTCATTTCTCATTCGGTTTGATTACTTCGATAGAAAAAAAACGCATATTAAATATTATCTCCAAGTTTAACAACTCTTGAGATTCTTTATTTATTCAAATCGGACGATTTCGGGTATTATCTGAGCAATTCGCTCTTTTTTGATTCGCACGTTATTTATGCAAAATTAATCTTTTAACTACTTTTGCATAAGCTCAAGCCAAAGAATCGGTAATTTGAATCTTACCACTTTATAATTTGGAATAATATCGGGCTTATATATATCTTAGTTTTTCTATTTGAACTCTCGTATAAAACTTGCTTAAGAATGGTTGATCGAAATGAGTTTTCCGTTTTTATTGATTCACTTTTCCGACTGAAATTTTTTATAATAGAGCAAGAATGGCCTTTTAATGCCGCAGAAAGTTGAAGTTTATACACCATTTGTTTGTTCATTGGATTCTTCAGCATTGGAAAATTCAAATCTTTCAGTGTTGTTTATCTTCATTTTTGAATGTTTGAAAATTTTTTTGCTCTTTTTCTTTAAATTTACTAATTTTGGGCACAAAAAATGAAGAAAAAAATGCTTTGAGTTTTTTCTTAAGTAACATGGACAATTTTCCATTTGGACTTAACACTTTGCCTACGGAGCTAATCAATTTTTTTCGCTACTTTAGATGTTTTTGAGAGCAGTTTTCAGATGCTGCCAAAAATATTTGGCCTTGCAGTGACGCTTTTTTGCCAGCTATCTTTATTGAAAACTCAGGTCTTAAAAACAACCCAATAAGTACTTTTTACTGATGAACAAAGGGAAGGAGAAACAATTACTCAAAAATAATTCAATTTCTTGTTTCCATGTCTGTTTTTCAGACGTAAGACGACAATGAAAACCATAAGAGAGCAAAACTTAGTAGCAATTTTTTTAAAGTTTAATAGCGTCAGATTTAATTGTTTTGGATCTCAAAAACACTTTTCTATGCTAGTAGTTTTGCCCAAGTTCAACTGTTAATGTTAAGCAGTCTCTGGAAAAACGTGACTAAACCGATCTTGTGAAAAACAATTTCGGTAAAATGTTGTTACTAGTGTATACAAAAACCAAATGAAAACAAAAATTTAGGTTTTTACTGGCCATTGCCCAAATAGTTCGAAAATTTTGTTTGATAAAATCGTCATTTAAAACTAAAACATGAAAAAAACATATTGCCCTGAGAATTGTTTCAGTTTCACGAATAATTTATGCTCCACACTTAAATGAATTAACAAAAATGCTGACATAAAAAAATTTGTATCCTCCGAGTTTAATGTTCAGAACGTTGACAGCTTCGTCTTTTTAGCTGTGTCACGTCAGACTATTTTGTAATTGTCCAGAAAAACCACCATCAAAGACTAGATTGGATCTTCTGGGTCCTCCAATTGCATTTTAACAGCTTATACAAATTAATTAATGCCTTTTCAAGAGAGTTTGCGGAAACTCGAGAAAAAGTAAATTTTTTGTTTAAAAAAATCTACAGAAAAGAAACTAAACTGACTTAAATTGTGTTCTTCAATGGGGAAGTTTGAACAAAAAAGGAATTAATTGAAAGATATTATCCAAAGTGAAGAATATATTCAATAGTAGTTTTCTCTGAACGCCAGAGACTGGCCTTTTAATTGACATATTGCGTTCTGCTGCAGATTTTTTTTAAATTTAAAAAGCCTTTTCGATTGTCCTGGCAGTGGGCACGGATAGCACTTGACGGCTACTTGGCTATTTGCTAATTGAGACAAAAATTGCTGGTATATTTATGAAGGAAAAAAATTTGTCAATTTTGGTGCAAAGTAAAATCTTCCGTGGTGCCTCATCTGTTCCTTTTGAAAATCTCTAGAGTCAACTCTTTTCAGAACTACCGTTAATTCAGTTGATTGACAATGCTTCCGTTTATGATGTTTAAGTGATTAAGTAACTACTTGAATACCAGTGACTAAGTTTTAAAAATATGCTTCGTTTGGTTTTTTCGCTTCGTTTAGGTAAAGGAACTAAAAAATTCTGGAAACGTGAGTAAGTGCTTTATTTAACTTCAGATGTTTTTGTGTAACAAATAACAAACAAGAAAACATTTGTTTCTTATTTAATTTTTTAAATTAATTTTTTTTCGACAGCAACGGCTACGGTTCGATAGTTTTTCTCTCAGATTAACACTTTTTAACATTCACTCAATCTTAATTGAACAAAACTTTTGATAACAACCCAATACATATTGAAAAAAATTAAACTGACGTAAATTCGTCACAGATAATTTTGCTTTAAAAAGAAACTAATTACTGAGCAAAAAAATTGAAAGACTTGAACTTTTAAAATTTCTTCTCAATCTGTGTTTTGAAAAAACTTCACTGCTTCTGTCTAGGTTTAGCAAACTAAGATTATTTCTGAAAACATGTTTAAGAATAAATTTTCGTCATAACTACTGCTTAAGTCAAATGGGTTTGAAATAAAAAAACTATCTGATGTATAATGATTCCAAAAGTTAAATTAGCAAAAAGTGCTTACATAAAAATTTGTATCCTCCAAGATTACAGCTCACAATGTTGACAGCTTCATCAATTTATCTGTGTTACATCAGACTATTTTGTAATTGTCCTGAAAAACCACCATCAAAGACTAGATTGAATCTTCTTCGTGCTTCATTCGCATCTTAACAGCTTAGACAAATTAATTGATGACTTGAGAAAATGTGAATATTTTGAACAAAAAAATCTATAGAAAAGAATTTAAATTGACTCAAACTGTGTTCTTCATTAGTAAAAATTGAAAAAAAGGACATAGTTTGAAATATATCATTTAAAGTGAAAAATATATTCAATATCAGGTTTCTCTGAACGCCAGAGACTGCCCTTTTATTTGACTTATGTAGTCCTGCTGCAGATTTTTTCACAGTTTAAAAGTTCTCAAGTGGCCTGGCGGTGCGCACGGAAAGCGCTTTTGCAGCTAGTTGGGTATTTACTAAATGAGACAAATTTTGCTGTTATATCTATGTAGGAACAAGTTTGACAATTTTTTGTCTAAAGCAAAATCTGCAGAGGTGCCCCATCTGTTCCTTTTGAAAAACTCTAGTTTCAACTCCTTTCCGAACTACCGTTAAATCAGGTGATCGACAATGCTGCCGTTTATGATATTTAAGTGTTTAAGTAACAACGTGAGTACCATTGACTAAGTTTAAAAAATATGCTTCGTTTGGTTTTTTCGCCCCGTTTAGGTAAAGGAGCTAAAAAATTCTCAAAACCTGAGTAAGTGCTTTTAATTGACTTCAGTTGTTTTTGTGTAACAAATAGCAAACAAGGAAACCATTACTTCCTATTTAATTTTTTCATTTATTTTTTTTGCGGCAGCAACGGTTTTGGTGCGACAGTTTTTCCTCTCAGATTAATAGTTTTTACCATTCACAAATTCTAAATTGAACAATTTTTTTTAACAACCCAATACACATTGAAAGAATTTAAACTGATATATATTCGTCACAACTAATTTTGCTAAAAATAGAAACAAATTACTGTACAAACAAATTGAAAGACTCGAAAATGTCTCCTCAATTTTAGTATTTTCAAAAACTTCACTGCTTATGTCTAGGTTTTGCAAAGTAATATTTTTCTGAAAAACTTGCGTAAAAGTAAAATTCTAAAAAGTCCGTCAAAAACAGCTGATTAAGTCGAAATGGATTTAATTTAAAAAACTATCTGATGAATAATGATTTGAATAGTTGAATTGCGTTTGAGAAAACTTTTTAAACGGAATGCAGTATTAAATAATTGCTGCCTCTAATCATTGGTTTTTTCAAAGTCAATCAGTCTATACAAGACCAATTTAGTTCAAAAACATAAGAGCTCTGATTAATGTCGAGTTTTTTGCACACTTATCACATTGGGATAGTCTCCAAATTTATGCAGAAATTACGATTCGTCAGCGTCAAATCTCAAATAAACTAAATATCAAATGAAGGCAAAGAGCAACAAGGATGGCCAGTTACTGTGCAAATGGCACAGAATATTCCAACCTGTTTCAGAAAAAAAATTAGTTTGGGTGTTTTAGTTTTTTTCTTTTGTTTTTCATTTTCCATGCAAAATCAGGTACAACAAATAATATTCGGAATGGGTCGAGTGATATATTATATTTAAGTCCTTTAACCTGATTCGAACGACTTTTAAATTATTGGAAAAAAATGTCTCTTTGTCGACAAAAAAATCAGTTGAAGTTTTGTATGTCGAATATGCCTAAATTCTATTTTCTATTTATCACTCGACCCATTCCGATGATTATTTGTTGTACCTGATTTGCGTGGAAAATGAAAAAGAAAAAAAGTAAAACATCCAAATACGAAGTTCCTGCACATTTTTCAAATAGTCGGAACAAAAACAAAACTTTACTGTCTCTATAACTTTGGGAAATTATTTTTAACGATACAAAAACAATGTCACTACTTATTTAACCTTCAGAGAGAAAGAGAGAGGTCTCAAACTTCCAAAGTCCCAATTTTCACTCACATCATTATTTTAATTCAATTTGAGATATTCAACTCCTTCAAAGATATTTAACAGCTGCCGTAGGACTTAAAGCCGTTATTGATATTTAGCAATTGAAAAACGAGCTGAAGAGACTTCAAGTCCAACTTCAAAAATTTCGAACGCTTTTGAGCCGAAGAGACTTCAAGTCCAACTTCAAAAATTTCGAACGCTTTAAAACATCTGCAAAACTTAAAGGTCTCGAATATTCGCTACATTTTTTTCATTTGCATGGATCGCTTGCAAATTATATAGAGAAAATTTGAAGCGTCGCGGCCCGTCGCAGAAAAAAAACGTTTTATTAAAAAACTTACAACACATCGTTCCTCGGCCTTTAAGAAAGCCGACAAAATAATGAATAATCCTTTCGTTTTAAAACCACTGTTTCGCTATCGTAATACACGGGATGACAAAAAATCCTCCCCCCCCCTGGACCTGGTTTCTTTAGCTTTTCCGCAAAAAAATTCTGCTAAATTTATTAGATGGTAAAATTTTGAGCAGATTATGCATTATTTCATTTCGAAAAGAGCACAAATCTTTCATTGAAACTATTGCTATTACTAACGTGCTTACATCTACCTCAAAAACTACCATTTTCGTTCCCTTCTTAGACTCGTGATTGGCACAATTTGTATTGAGTATAACCTTTAAATTGAAACAAAAAGAAAAACATTTCAGTAAATCACAACAGTTTTTTTTTAAAATTTAAATAAAAATCGACAAAATAGTTAGTTTAAACCACGTTCTGCTGAATAGAAGACAACAAATCCTTACAACCATCTGTGATCTTGGGATGCATTCTTTCCCTTTCCTCGTACCACACTTAATTTGGAATTGGAAGTGGGAACAGGAGGAGGAGGAGGTTCTACTTGGGTTTGACTTCATTTTCCGCCACATTGCGAATGTAGACTGAGTTCTCGGGAGGGTTAGCGATGTCCCCGCCCTCATTCATGTATGAACAGGCAATGGCCAAAGCGGAACCGTCCTCACTAAAAAATAATTTTCAAAGATAAACAAAAGCCGGTGTCTATGCCAGCAGCTCAAACATTTCATAACTCAAAACGTTGGCAAAAAAAAATTTCAAAATTTTTCAAAAAAAAAAGACTATAATTTTTTAAAGCTTTCTGGGATGTTTTTTCCTCAATATCGTCTAAAAAGCAAAATTTTCAAACCACGTTTTTTCTCATCTTGAGAGAAATATTCGTTGTTTTTTTTCGCGGTCGTGACAAAAGCTTCTTTATGATATGTCATCGACTTCGCTCGACGTTTATTGAGATTTTGGGAAAAAACAAACACATGAATCATAAGTTCCATTCCACTCAGTGGGCGATACATATAGGATAAAAACAATCAATCAGGGTTGGGAAAAAAAAACGTTTTTTATTGAAAAAATCAATTAGACAGCGTTTTTTTTAATAAAAAAAAAACATGTTTTATTGTCTTTTTACAGTTTGTTCAGTTCTAACTTTCTGCCCTCATACCGATGATATAATAGATATGCGGCAAGAAAAACGGGAGTCAGATAATCATCTCTTCTTTTTGCTACAAAATGTTTAGGATGATCCGGTGCAGCCGGCTCAATAAGGGAAGGTGGCTCATACCCCAATCGCAGCGGTTTGACTCCCAAACAATGCTAAGCTTTTGCGATAAAAGTTTTAAAACATTCCCTACCCTGCAATCAAGATGCAATATTGAGACACTTACTTGAAAGCGAGTGATGTGACTCCAGTGGCGAATCTGTGGTATTGCACGAGTCTCTTCTTATTACCTCCATCCCATATGTTCACGTATCCGTCACTGCCCCCAGTGGCGAAAGTTCCGAAGCCCCGGTGGAATGAGATGGCATTCACAGGGTACACAAATTCAGTCTTCTCTGGCTTGTTCGGAACCTCCTCCTAGAATTGAAATAGAAAAAGGACTTCTTAAATAGCACTTCTTAAATAAACAGAGGTAGATGATTCCCAAAATCAAGGAAAATATTGGAGTTTTGACAAATTTTTAACCACATGCAAAACATCGACACCCTGAGTTTGAAATCAAAATCATAATTCACGTTTGATCATTTTTTTGTGCCCTTATACAGTGGTTATTTTACGCATTAGGACAAAACGAAAAAAAAACGCATTCTCAAATTGGGTTGACTTTAGGTGAAAAACGGTGAAGACAAAACTTGCTTCGAATTTTAACAGGATTATTATAGTGCAATTTGCTTTGCAAAATTCGGGTCTAAAATTTTAGCCCAAAACCGATCGTTTTGGCTTTTTTAGTCAGCCAAAAATTACGCAAAAACTACCAGGTCAATTACCGGCACAATTGTATCAAAGTGAGCCTCATATGTAGCCCTCCAATTTCTAAGAGGGGTATGAATTCCAAAAATTTGTTCAAAGCGTTCAACAGCCCCCCTGGCTTTACTTGCTTTCTCGTTTTTCATCAGTTACATTTATTTTTTTATTGCAGTCAAACAGAGGCAGTCAAAATTGAGAAAAAAAAACATGCCGTTTGCCATAGTTCCTTTCACTTCAAGAAGTACCCGGAACAATGACATGCGCAGAAAACCCTAATGACCCCCATCTAACTTCGAAAATATTATTGATTGATTGCAATCCATTGTACGAAAACAAAACAACAATAGACCAAATCGTTCGCCTTAATTCAGATACAAATTCAGAAACAAAAATGAGGGCTATTTATGCACGTTTTGGAGAAACCGAATCGTTCTTACTTAAAGAGTCGATGATCGCTATTCTCGTACGGTTTTTATTCCTCCAAACTTTACATTTAATTTCATGTATGTTCATTTTTGCAGTCTTTAACCTCTAGCATAAAAATATATTCTCTTACAGAGGGAAACAATAATCTAACCTTTATCCGGTGACACTTGAACGCGTACTTCTTTTTCTGTGCCTCCGGACTCGGGTCCAGGAACTCAACCGCCACTCTGCCTTCTATTGAACTCAATACATAGCCAGTGTGATCTGGAAAACTACGGATGCATCTCGTCTGGTACTTCAGACTAGATTCTCTACTCTAGAAGACGGCAAAATAGTGGAGCAGTTGGCACAAATTTTATGTAGTAAAACTTCACATCAAAATTACTTCAATTGTGAGATTTCTGAATCTAATTCAGAGGGCAGACATTTTTATCGTGATACTTGAAAAATTTTCTAAACTTCCGCATGTCGTCATTATTGCACATTAATCAAGTTTAGATTTATATAATTCTGGCACAACTTCTCACAATTGAATTAATTGGTATGAAAACAGAGTGTTTTTCAAGCGTGTCGTAAGTTGGAGTAACAAATCACCTGCAGCACATTGGACATGTTTTTCATGTCCCAAACCATAACGTGTCTGCCAGCAGTGCCCACTATCAGTTTGTCCCCACAGGATGACATGGCGTAGATCTTGTCCGGGTGTCGGTAGCTCTGCACTGGGTTGGCCATACGCACATCCCACACTTTGATTGTGTGGTCCCAACTACCTGCAACGGAGAAAGAAATCGGGTGAAAACTTGAGCCGGTGGGGATGTTCGGATGCTTTTTGATTATTGTTTCTCTCAACACCCAAAATTAAACCAAAGGCAATAAGGACGCTCTGTGCAAATTATCAAACCATTACAAAAACCGAAAGGCGAGGAAAAACGAATTCCAATGTCTGCAAAAATATGTTATTACTTGAAAATAGATTTCAAAAAATACCGTATGACTATTGGATATGACTACATTGGGTGCTGATGGGTAGTTAATTTTAGAGAAAAACTTAACTCGGCCTCATTTTGAACATTTTCGACCAAAACTTCCATTTTTAGTCTAATTTATTTTCCTAGCTCAATGGAAATTGAAGAGACCTTCACATAACATTTCAGCAATACCTGAAAAAAAAAACGAATGCATTTAGAGCTTAGCAAAACAGAGCATTTCAATTATGACAAATTGAATTATCTGTTTCTATTATACTGTTATACCTCTGATATGCTATTTGGCAAACAAAACGCAAAAAGATAATTTACCAAAAAAATTGATACCACAAATAAGCATCTATAAATAGTTCAAACATGACAAGGTCAAAAAATCTGTTTATGTTTTTTGTTTTTCTTCTGATATGCTATTTATCCCTACCTGATATGACTACATTGGGTGCTGATGGGTGGTTGCAGTGTACTATGCATCTGACGGGGGCCTCATGGGAGGCTGGGAACACTCTCTCCTGACTAGTGTTCATATCCACACAACGCACTCTCCCATCCGCACCTGCACTATACGCTGTGAAGCTATTCTGAAACAGGATAATTCAAAACTATCAGCAAACAAACATAAGATAAAATTTCTGATGTTTCGAGGATCATTCGAAGAGATCAACCGCAGCACCGATGAGAAAAAAATTGTAAAAGGGGAAATATCTACATGGAAAGAAGGCCAATCAATAACTATTACAATAATTATTTATATCTTTTTTATATTGAATCATTTTATGCGGCTTTGAAACATATTTTGAATTCATTTAGATGAATAGGAATGAGTATTCATTCAAAATCATCAAGGACATCCAGACGAAAAAAAACGAACGTGGATACTAGATCAAATTCAACCGGAATCACTCAACTCGTATTAAAATAAACTGAGAGTAAGCATAGCAAACATAAACACCACTAAAAATTAACAAGACTTCAAAATTAATAGCAAGATTTCACGCAGAGGCGAAGCTTCGCTTCGCAACCACTAGCCGACAAAAATCAGCTCTATAAAATGCAATAAGAAAAAGTAGAAATAAGCCTCGAATAGTAAAAATTCGGCTAAATTTCGGATGCGATCTGCTACCTTGTTACGCTTGATACGAATTGTCGCTTGTTACGAATTACTTCATCGCAGAAAAAGCATCAAAATGTTTCATCTTAAAAGCCAGCAAAAAATTATGTCTGATTTCTACTTTGGAATTACTCCATGCAGTCGTTGAAGAACTAATTCTCGCAACCTTAGGTTGTTTTTAATAGTGAGCTAAACTAACCACAAAACAGCAATCCAGCAGTGGACAATTGGCTGCGAATGTCTGTTTCTGTGAGTTCTGAGAAATGTCGAACAGTCTAAGAGTGCAGTCCCACGAGGACACCAGCAGTGATCTGGGGTTGTCGGGGTCAAAGGTCACGGTAGAGATGGGGTCATTCCAGATTCCAGCGTCGAGTTTGAACTCAGAGTGTCTCTCAGCCGAGGCCATTTTTAACTCTGAAATTTGAAAAATCTTCAAATACAAAAATTCTGAACAACTCAGGTTTCTGAACCTGCCTCAAGTTTACTAACGAGTGTTTGCAAAATCGAGGCAAAAACGACCCAAATTTGAGCTGCAATTTTAAACACAGGCAAAGCAGAGCTGCGCATCACTTGTGATACCGCAAAAATAGTATTGTAAGCTAGCAGACAGGAAAGAAAATAAGAACCACTAAGTCCAAAGAAAACGGTAGCATTTACGAAGAAAACATAACTAAGAGACTTCAAAATGTTGTCTGGAATGATGTTCTATTTGCAGAAAACACGCCCAGAAACACATTCGACGGCATTTAATGAAAATTCAAAAAGAATTATAGAGCGAAAATAAAATAGTGTTTATGAAATTGTATTCTGAGATTTTTAATATTTTTTAGCGATCCGGAGTAAAGCAAAAAAATTATGGTTCCCTCAAACGATCCAAAATTAGGTTAGTAAGCCGATTAAATAAAAACCGAAACCGTTTAGGCCGAAAGATTTCTTAAGTCAAGGTTAGTAGAATTACAAATTGCAGGGGTAAAAGAAAACAGAAAAAGCAACTTTAATGAAAACTGAATACAGCAAACAAAAATTCTGAGATGAGGCAACTAAGCCGACATGAAACGGAATAATTTCCTTTGAAAGATTTCTTGAAAAGGAATTTTTCCCGTTTGAAAACAAAAACAGGTCGTGGTCAGATTTCAATCCAGGACCTTTGTCGTTCCAGGTGTTTTCGCTACCTCATGTAACGAACACACCTGGGACGGCAAATGTCCTGGGTTCAAATCTAAAAAGACCTGTTTTTGTTTTCAAACGGGAAAAATTCATTTTCAAGAAATCTTTCAAACGGGAAAAAAATCCGTTTCATGTCGGCTTAGTTGCCACATCTCAGAATTTTTTTTGCTGTATTCAGATTTCATTGTAGTTGGTTTTTCTGTTCATAATCCTGGTTGCTCTTAATCTTGGTTCATAATGAATTCAAATTTCTAAGCGTCTCCGGCACAATTAGTGTGGAGGCTCCACACTAAGTGTCCCGGCGACGCTTAGAAACTTGAACTCTTTATGAACCAAGCTACCAAGTGACTTTGTTCAACAAATTGTTAACCCGAAAAACGTCTATATTCCGATTTGATAACGCTTGCTAATCACAAGCAAAACTTTCTAATTACAGTCCTTGATGCAAAACCTTTCACAAAAAACTAAGCTTAATTGACTATGAATATGCTTTACGTATCGCATTTATTTGTCGTAGTATATTACTGATGACATAACTTTATGCATCTTTTTTGAAGAACACGAACTTCTCAGCATGTATGCTCCTCTAGTGACCGAAATAAAATCAACAAAAAACCACCTTAATTGAACGAAATTTAAACCAGAGGCCGTCGTCTACACGAACACAATCAGTGAAACCAATTTTAGCAAATTGGCCTACAGCCAATAACGCTGTTTCTGAATATTATTTCAAAAAATACTATTAGTAGGAAAAAGTTACACAAGGGTAACAAAGACAAACTCAACGATTTATTACATCACATATCGATTGAAGTTATTTTCTGAAACCCCAATTTTCTGCATTCTCTTCAACCCCGGTCAATTTTCTGCAAAAGTTTTGAAATAAAATGAATATCAACAAAAGTAGCCAGTTGCTGCTAAAAAAGCGCAGAATGCTGGGGCCCCCAATTACAGTCACGGGACATAAATTGCAACTTATGGATTTAAACGAGCAATTGAAAGAATTTTTTCTTCACGTTTTGGTAGTTTTCTCTGCACCTATTTAAGATATCGGGTTGAAGTTTTGACACACGCTAGAAAAAACTAATGAAAGGAGATAACTGCATTAAAATTTGAGTGAGGCGTAAAATAGCCAGATCATATTTAGTTTAACAGATGTTCTCGCTGAAACATCCAGGCAAACTTCGTTTTTTTTCTTATATTATTTCAAATTTCCGACTTTTTTAAAGTTGCGTGGACAGAGGACCTAAGAAAACATTAGAATTTCCCTTAATTGAATATATAAATCTTGAAAAAATCATAATACAATTTTTTCTATTTTTACCTCCGTTTCTAAGTTTTTGTTATTTTTGCGTCGTGTAATTTTTTAGAAATTTTTGCGTCGTTCAAAGACAATGTAAGAGACTTTTTCCGAAGCATCACTCAACCCAATCTGATGATTATTTATTTTAGATGATTTTGCTTGAAAAAGAACAATTAAAGAGGCGACTTACCCAAGTTTTTATATGTTGATTTGATCTGACAAAAGGTTCCTTTTACTGAATACATGCGAAGTAAAACAATTTGACGATGAATTAGGATAGAAAGAACACTTTCAAAGCGGTAACAAAGCCGAAGAACTAATTTCATGGAAAAAACATCAAAACTCGAAAACTTTTAATGTCCACATCAAAATATTGAGACAAAACTTTTTTGTTTATCAAAGCACTCAAAAATTGGCCACTAAGCCAATTAAACACAAGCTGAAACCTTTCAAGTTTAAAAAAGATTATTATATCAAGCCACATACTCAAAATATTACAATTGGTTGACGAAATTACAGATTTTGAGATGACTACCAATTTTAGTCAATTTCAGACCACTTACTTATTCAGAGGCGAAGCAGAGCTTTGCACCACAGAGCTTCGTACCACTTGCAATACAAAATGAATGATTATGACTGAAGAGCAAATTTAGTAAAATCAAAAATTGCAACAAAAACTTCACAAAATCTTTTTTTTTCTGAAAAAAACTATTAAAATAGCAAAAAAAGGCCAAAAAATCCTGCAACGAAGTTACTGCACCATTAAAAAATTCACAAGGAGCATTATGATTGGTAGAAAGGAGCCTAACCTTACAAAAAGACTATTCTGCGGAAACTAAGCCGACAAAATTTAGAACAAAAAACCGGAAAAAAATGAGATTTTTCTCTATAAGTTTATTTGAAAAAATTAATTACTACCCATAAAGGGCTCGTTAATTATCTTTGAATTCTCAAGATGATCGTAACAAATAATACACTTGATTAGAAGTTCTTTGAGGCTGTTTTTTTAGAAAAAAGAAGATTTTGCGAGCTATAATATCTGGAAGTCTCTAACCTACAGCCTTAGCAAACAATTAAACGGAGCAATTAAACTTGATACTTTACAAAATTGAACAAATCTCACATGTCATGTATGTCTTAAATATGTGTCTCGAAATTAGGAAGGCTCACAATTTGAGTTGGATTGCTCAAATAAGCCTGAAAGTATAATCAATTGCTCTAAACTTCTAAATGGGGCTTTGGATTTACCTTTTTGGCCAATGGTCACTAGCTATCGGGCGCTTAAGAGATTGATAATAATTTAATTAACATGGAAAGCGAAACATCAATCGCAGTGATTACCACATTAGAGATGACTATTGTCTGAGTTCAAATTTTGATTGGACGCAGGAAACGTACAGCTAAGATGCAAGTGCTCAGATTCCCAGAAACTTATTATCATCTGATTAACTCTTAATAACGAAAACGCTAATAAAACAGTTAGTCAAGAAAAAATATCTAATAATAAAATGAAATTGGTTATAAAATCACCTTTCACTGGCTGAAACTAATTGACTTTTTATAGTAGTTTATATTTTGTTAATAATATAAAATAATCAAAGAGAATTATGACTACCATCTTAATACACATTGAAAGATTCTTCAATACTATGAAGAAAATTTAAAACCTACATACAGGGTAATTAACGTTATAACAAAGAACAAAATTTTTCAATAGATGGTAAAATTGTTTCATTGACAAAAATTAGTCATATGGGAAATTGATTAAGAAAATGAGCTGAAAATTAATAACACATGCATAGGTATTCTAAATTAGCTCGAAGGGAGAGGGCAAGATTGTTATGTAAATCCAAATATAAAGAAGGATAGACCGTTACTGTGCAAGTAGCACAGAATGTTCCGACAATCGTCTTTAAAAAACCATCGTCTTTCAAATTAGTTTTTCCGCGTGAGTGATAAGAAAGTCTGATTTAAAACTATATTTTATGCATATTTGATATTCATAGTAAAATATGCAAATAAGATACAGACATTTATGGAAAATTGACTAGAAAAACAAATATTTAAAAAATTCAAAAGATTAAAAAAAAACTAGAGCAAAATGGAGCTACAAAACTCCAAAAATTAACTCTACTTGCTTAAAGTTAAATTTTTAGGGCTTAAATTTTTAATTACTCCTAATTAAGCTGTTGTAAGCCAGCTCGCTCGCTTTATTTGCTCGCATTAACACAAGCTAGAAAACACTAAGAAGTACCTCTACAATTACAAAAAAATCAGAAAAAAGAAAAAGCTGAATAAGTAGTGAAAAACAAAACTTTTGCAAAATAACGGAACCGAAGTACTGGAATCTTCGCCACAATGGCTGGAAAAATGCAAACACTATCAACCAGTAAAGCAGATAGCACAGATGTTATTACACTGCCGATGCTATGCAGCAAAGTATCAAGAAAAAGCATTTTATTTAGGGAGTTGAATTGAAAAAATATGGGTTCGTAAATTAACACGTTCGCTTGTGATAATGATAACCAAACAAAATTTAATGTTTAAGTGATTCAAATCAAAAACCAAATCTTTAAAGCAATCCAGAATTAACGGCAACGCTGCAGTTTTAGCCGATGCGATATTCGTCCTAAAGCAAATTGTACAAAACAAAACAAACTTTTACACAGACGCGAATTTGTGAAACATTTGCAAAACAACACAACTATAGTATGGTACGCTAGTAAAAATAGCAACAAAGACAGCAAAATAATAAATACAAAATTTTTAATTCAGTTTTTACGCCTTGCCGAAACATAAAAATCTAATTTGTCCCACCAAATAACGCATTAGAACATTAGCCGAAACCATGTAGGCGAAAGTTTTATCAAAAATGTACCTCGTGTAAAGCAACTACCTGCACCATTAGTAAAATGACGTGTTAGGAATGGTATTCTAACA